TCTGTCTGTCTGTCTGTCTGTCTGTCTGTCTGTCTGTCTGTCTGTCTATCTATCTATCTATCTATCTATCTATCTATCTATCTATCTATCTATCTATCTATCTATCTATCTATCCATCGGTATGTAACAGGTACTTAAAGAATACATGCTGGGTACATATCTAATACACACCTGTACTTCTGGGTACATACCAGGTGGCAAGTTACTTCATATTACAGTTCTGTTCCAGTACATAACTGGCACCTAACAGGAAACACTGGGTATGCATCTGGTATTTACAGAGCACTTTTCAGGCTGTAATATGTGTTGCTCAATAAATGAATGGTTTTGTACATTATTCATAAACATTTTTATAAAACAACGTTTTATTGTTAATCACTCCTGCTGAAAAAGCCAAGCAATTTTTATTTTAGGAGGTGGTGTTCAAAATGTAACTGATTAAAAAAACAAACTTGTTAAAAATCAAAGATATTAAACAAAAACATCAGCTAAATTGCAAAGATTAAACAAGGAGTTGCAATATTTTCATCTCTAATATCACAATTAAAAAACAAAGTGGCATAATTAAACATCCATCCATCCATTATCTTTGCCCGCTTCTTCCTTTTTATGTCCAGCAGTCATGTGCAAGAGGCGGGGGACACCCTGGATGGGTCTCCAGTCCATCACAGGGCCACAAAGATAAACGAAACAACCAACCATTCACACTCTCACATCTAAGGTCAATGTAGAGTTACCAATTAGCCTAACTTGTATGTTTCTGGTCTGTGGGAGGAAACCGGAGTACCTGGAGAAAATCCACGCATGCACAGAGAGAACATGCACATTCCACCCAGAAACACCCCTGGCCAGAACATGAACCAGCGACCTGCTCACTGAGAGGCGGCAGAGTTACCAGCTGCTCCACCGTGCCGTACGCTTAATTAAACAGAAATTTGTTTTTTGTAATTAAATACAAATTAGTATTTTAGGATCTTCCCACATTTTAGGTTTGCTTTCCTTTTTTGTTTTAAGTTAAAAGAAAAATGATTAGATATGAATGGTTTTATAAAGTGACGTGAATAAACAATGAAACATTGGTGTCAACTACGGGAACCAGCAGCATCTTTGCCCATTCATTCTCACAATTCTGTGTAGGAAAAGTAGCCATCTACTATCATGCCATTTATTTTTTAACTACATGGTTAATGTTGAACTGGGTCAGCTTTAGTACTAAATACCTCCCCTACAAACCACAATATTTTTTCGACTATAAGGTGCATTTAAAATCCTTTAATTATTCTCAAAAATCGACAGTGAGCCTTATACCATACCATTTTATTTATAAAGCACTTAAAACAGCGACAAGGCCAACCAAAGTGCTGTACAGACAGAACATCTTATAATCAGGTGAGCTTTATGCATTAATTCTGGTTGTGCTTACTGACCTCAAACCGATTTTATGTGGTTATTGTGAATGAGTTGAATAAAGGTTGACTTATCTGACTGCTTTGTTTTGCTTAATGCGCCTTATAGTCCAAAAATACGGTAGTAACAGTTGCGCTAGGTGACTGCATGTTGGAGTAGCTCTCTTAAATTCTTTCTGAGATTTTGCTTTTGAAAACTTTACAGACTTTTTTTTTCTGGAGGTAAATCACTTTTTTCAGATGATTACTTCCTCTGGTTTTGGATGCAGTGCGTCTGAAAGGCTTTTTACTGAAACCTTTTTAACTTTTGGATGTTTGTTATGATGCGTAACCATAACAACAAGGTGGTTTTCTACAACTGGGAGCTGCTGATTAACATCTCAAAAACTCAAATATTACCTCAAATACAGCCCCAAATCCCAAATGAGTTGAAAAGGAGGTGCAGTGGATGCATTTCCATCTAAGTGGAGGTGGTGCTCGAGTGCCTGACCGTCGAGATCTTGGAGGTGGAAAGAAACGCGGCTCGTGACAGCAAGAGGACCAAGATCGTCCACCGGCACCTGCAATTTTGTCCGTGGCGATGAGGGGCTAAGCAGGCTGCTGGGAGGAGTGGCCATCGCTGGGGGAGGAGCTCTGCCCAGCATTCAGGTGGTCCTGCTGCCCAAAAGGAACGAGAGGTCTGCTGGGTCTGGGTGGATGGATCGGCATCTGCAGCCAGTTCCTTCAGATCTATTGTGGGACGGACCCCTACAAGAGATCCTTCCACAGCTATCAGCATCTAGAACAACTTTATATGAAACTAGGACGAGCTACATCAACAATTAATTTCCCTTTGGGGTTAATAAAGTATTTTTGAATTGAATTGAATTGAAACGTCACTGTACACTTTTCTCCCTCTCCTTCCATTTAAATGAAAGACAACATGAAAACGTCCACAGAAGCTTTTATAGCTAACATCGTACTTGATCGTCTCATGGTGTCAAGATTTACCTTTCTACATATTACACTTATCATGAGTTCCTGTGTATTTTAATATATATATTTTAAAGAACAAGAATTAACCCAAAAGCAGATGTGTTTTTTGCTGAGGATTCAGATTCCTTTTCATCTTCTCTTTATAACAAACATTTTTTCCTGTTGTTCATTTACAGTAAACAGATTAAATCAGCCGCATGTGTGCCTAGAAATACAAATCTGGATGTATTTTTAAGTGGGATATCTCTACTGATCTCAAAAGGAAATGTGTGCATTTTATATTACAAGTGAAACAAGCGGTTAGGGAGTAAATTGATTCATTTTCATCGTTTTCTCTCTGATGCACTTTACACTCCTGCTACTCCAGAGGCTGACGTCCATATGAAAAGACTTTAATGGGAATTATTTTTTTAACTGTAAAGAAAAGGATTTGAGTGACAACTTGCTGTGCTTGGTCGAGTTGCTTAGCAATCTCTTCTACAAGTCATTTTCACATTGAACCTGCACCAGGTGACTAATTCAGATGAGTCAGTCCTTTAAAAACGCCAACAGTGTGGAATAATCAGACACTTTGAAAAGTGACGTTGTTAAACAGGGAAAGCTACACCTCGAATAACTTACTCTTATGTCATTCGATTGAAAAAAATGTTTAAAAAATCTCAAGTATGGACGCCTCAGCCACATTATTGTCTGTCTGCCACATTGTAAGCGTGAAATTTGTATCTGAGCGGCGCCTGGCATGTTTACAAGGACATCACAAATTAACCAGAGTTTGATTTTTGCTCTGCTCTGGCACACGGGTAAAGGAGTTTTATGATTAAAACCAGACCTGGCTCAACGGAGGCCAGAAAAATAGATTGCAGTTCCAGATATTCTTCACAAGAGGGAAGTACAGAAACATACACGTTTGTCTCTGCAGCGTTTGTGGAAAATGGACTTGTCAAAATAATTTTTCACCTCTGCTATAACAACTTCCTTCCAGATGTCACGCTGATATTAAATCTGCCTCTAGTTTACAGTCAGGAATGATAACTCCGATTGTGGCGCAACAAAAGCTCTTCCTCCTCAGCCACTTGGAGTAAATCATGCCAATTCTGTGTCAGAGTTTAAATAATCCCTTGAATTATTTGAGGTTTTTATAGTCACATGATTTAATTGAAGCAACTGTGGGACCCCCCCCCTCCCCCTTTGCCAAAAACAGCTCAGTTCCTGCCAATCCTTAGTTTCCTTGAAGTTGTGCTGCAAAAAAAATGTCTGCCTCAAGACTTTACTGAGCTCTCATAGAGCTAAAATATAATAATTTAAAACTTGCTTCAATAAATCCCACCAGCTTTTCAGACCTGCCTGTCAAAAATTGATAAAACCAGCAGCTAATGTTGTTTTTCAAGGTCAAGTAAATCCTCAGACATTTTCATTAAAGAAAAAAAAACTTTACTTCAGTGAGTGAGGGAGCATGATTAGAACCGCATGTGTAACTAAACTGAGGAATAAATTTCTCCTCACCTACCAAGACGGACACATTTTACAGTGTGGGGGGAAGACTGGGAAATCATGTGATATCAACAAAAGCAGAAATATTAAGGCCTTCCCCCTTCCCCTGCCGCCCACACACAGACGCTCACATCAAACATAGTTTTTTTTTTTTTTTTGGTCACAGAGAGGAACACTGCTATTCATTTACAGACTTTGAACTCTGCTCTGCCAGTAAACAAAGCAAACGTCATCGGCTGCAAGCCCCGACAGAAACATCAACACTGACAGAGTAGAGGGGAAAAAAAAAAAACTTACTGCGAGTTGTTCCCCTGCCTGGTCCCAATCGGAGCTCCTCTCTGCAGCAGGGCCTTGTGTTTCAATGGGTTAAACACCACCTCCCCCCTCCTTCACACCATGCTGGTGCTGTGGCGTCCTCTCACAGGGTAGGCAGGGGTCCTCACTGGTTTGGACGGTGGGTACTGGCCCTTCCCACACTGCCCGTTTTGGGGGTAGGGTGGAGGCTTTTGAGTTCTAGGATTGGAAGTGCTGTTCCCAATGATGACTTTAGGGTCCAAAGTTTGTGGGGGGTGTTCTGAATTTACTTGACTGGCGTGATTAGACTCTCCTGCGGGGTGCAGATGAGGCGGGTGGCCGTTCACACTTGGTTTTTTGTGGTTGTCATCTTTGTTGAGACTGGGCGGGGTGAAGCGGCTGGTTTTGACGACAGAAGCCACGTGGACGGGGGAGACGGAGTTGGTTCTGAGGATGAGGCGGTCCTCGTCAACCTGTTGCGGTGCCTGAACCGATCCGGGTTTGTTTCCAGAGAGAGGGGCTATCCTGAAGTCTCCTGCATGAGTCTGGTTGTTACTGGTCGACCCCTGAGTGATGCGCGGGGCCCTCTCGCCGAGGTCGATGTTGGCCGTGAGACGATCAATCTGCTCGACCACCTGAATGATAATAGAAAGGGTGGTTGCTACCAAACTGCATTTACAACTCCGTAAAGTCACATCTAATTTTACTGTGAGGTTCTTCATACAGAAACAATTCAATGGATCCAATCAAACACATTTATTTGACCCAGTGAGGACATGTTTCGCATAAATTTCAGACTCTAGGACAATATGTTGTGTCAAACTAAAAGAAACACCAAACAATCCAAACATTTTAAATGATTAAAAACAATTGAAATCATCAACAAGAAAACCTAAAAACCAAAATGTGTTAGGATAAATAAATATGTGACAGTTGTTTTTAAACCTGCAGATTCTGTATCATATGTAACTGATTGAATTAATAAATAAGATGTGTAAAGAGTCTCTAATTAATTGTCTTACCTACCGCCATTATGGACATTTTTGTCCATTTTTTCAACTGTTTTGTATAAATAGGCAATGAGAGTCCTGTAGTAAATTAATTTAAGATGTTTGACTATAGTAATTTACAAAATAATTATAAAATACAACAGTCTATTAAAAGGTAAGGTTTATGGCTCATAAATCACCCCAGAAAAGTTGACAAATTTACTTTTATTGTGACTATTTGTCATTCTAATAATCAATTTCTCCACTTTATAACAGTTGAATGAGTATAATTTTATTAAGAGATAAATGCAGTATTACTCAGTTTTAGTATTCTAATTAATGGTAACATAAAAGGCATGTTTTCTTTTCTTCTTTCGTATTACACTGAGTATTTCCTGACCCTCCGGGATTTATCTGTTGAACTTTTGCAGGACTTTAAAGTTATGGAAAACTGTGCTAAACAATAAAAACCAACTCTACCTCATAGTGAGAATAATAAAAAGCCGCTTTCATTCAAAACATTACCAACCTAGGTGTGTAAATCTGGATTATATGCTGGTGTTAGTGGAAAAGTTTAAATAATGAACACCTTTTTTTCCTTCTGTAATAAACTTTTACTATAGAATTGGTAAATTATTGTAGTAATTACTTCATTAATGCCAAATTGCATCTATTACAGTGGTTATTTCTGACTGAATCAATATCAGTAAAGAAAAAAAACAACCATTTGCTTAAACTGACATCATTTTTAATTTCCTTTGGCCCAATTACAAATCATTAAATAGATTGATTTTATTTTAACTGTAAAACACCAGGCCTAGAACAGATGTGTTCAGCTGTGAATCAATGGTCATTTACTGCTGCGAGTAAAATGAATGCTGTGGGAGTGAGGAGTGATCTGGAAACAGTCTGATGCCGAGCTTTATAAAGTGCTGACCAGAACACTGCTAGTTACAGTGGCACTCTGCAAAAGGTCAGAGTAAACCTCTCTCTATCACTTCTTTGATAAGAGATGATGACTGAATCACAAACGATGCAGTCATCATGAGGATGCACGCTCTCTAACACACACATCCTCCAATAACACGCAGCTAAGCTGCTCTGCACGATCAGCATCTGAGCCTGGTGATAACCGTTTTAAATGTCATCACATTCACGAGAGAAGTGATAAAAGCCCGAGACATCTGCTGCGGATTCAGAGTTTATGTGGTTAGATACCTGATGTATGCCTGAGGATTAAACATCTTTAATTGCAGACCCTCCTACCTCTTTCATCTCCACGTGAACTTGCTTCAAACCCCCCAACACTTCCTCCAGATCTGTTACGACTTGCCGGATCTGATCCCTCACCGAATCCTGCGTCGTCCTCTGCGTCGTCTCCTCTGCACCCTGACGCTGGTGCTCATGATTGGTTATCGGTTTGGAGATTTCCGAGCAGGTGATGGTGGAAGGAGTGACGGAGGATCCCTTCTGTCTTCTTTGGCTCAAGCGTTTTTGTGGGACTTCCGTGGAGAAGAAGCTTTTTTCAGACCCACTGCAATAATCAAACCCATCTTCTGGTCCACCCTTTAGCTTACCCTGGTCCTGATAGTTATCTCTTTCCTCCTCTTCCTTAAAGAACACACGCCTTGGTCCCGAGTGGCCATTTGTCATGTGAAAATGACCCGGGTTGCTGTGTGGTTTCAAATGAGAGCTGTCAGAAGTGCATCTGCAGCCTCCCTCTTCATCCACAGAGATATACCTGACAGTCCTCCGTCTGTACCCTTGACCTTTGACCTGAAGATGAGGGAGAGGGTGTGGAATTCCAGGGTGGAAGAGAGGTGTTCTGTCGTCGTGCACCACACAGCCACACCGTTGTCTCACAGATGAATAGTGTCTCACCCCAGGCTCCTCTGGGTCGCTCCACTGGGCAGGGTTCAGTTCCCAGGGGCACACTTGGTTGAAGTCATCCGAGTGGCAGTAGAGGCCCGGCCCTGTGCACACAGGCCTCCTCTGTGGGCTGAGTTGACCGCTTCTCTCAACTCTGTCCACTAAGAAAGCTCTGCCTCCTACGTCTTTACCCTGAGGAGCCTGGATGTCTCTCCAGCAGTCTGACGATGAGTGGTCCGTCTGTCTGGCTGATGTTGGGTGGGATCCGGACCCTCGGTGATACTTATATGGCTGCTCATGGTAGATGCAGTGCTGGCAGGGGCAGGGAGGGTGGGTGTGCTGAAGAAATCGGTGGTGTCCTGTTTGGGAGCCTTCTGTGTACATATCCTCACACGCCTGGAGACTCGTGCAGAAAACTCCTTAGAAAACAAGTGGTTTCCTCCTCTCCAAGCCCTCTCTAGTCCAGTCATTCACTCGCTGTTTTCCTCATCTGCGTCTTCCCACAAGAAAACTTTTCTCTGGCCTCTTTGGTACTTTCTACTCAAGACTTCTCCCTCCCCTTCCTTCCTGTCTGTTGTTCCTTTTTTTCTTCTCTGCTGTAGCTGTTAATCGTACATGCGTACTTTCCTGAGTCCTTCTTTCTCTTACTTCCCCCAACTTTTTCTCGCTCCTTCTTCTTCCTCCTCACCCTATAGCCCTCTCTGCAGCACGGGGCCCCTCTTCACCTCCCTCCCTCTCCGTCTCTCTTTCTACCTCTCCCGCCTCGTTGTTCTGTCTCATTAGCTGCTGCAGGCGTCCAGTCTCAGCCTTGCTCTGTCTCTCTGGCGGTGTATTTCCCGTCTCCTCCCCGCCCCTCTCCTGCTCTCCTCTCTTTCTCCACCTCTTACGTCTCCTGCCTCTGGTAGATTCTCTCACATAGTCGGCTGTACCTGGATTTGAGAATTCCTGCCTTCCCCACCACCTGAAACCCAGCTGCTGTGTGAGGCTCCTCGGGTGAAGGACTCCATGTGGGATTCTGTTTTCTCAAAGAGTGCGTGAAGGAGTCTCAGCTCCGGCGCAGAGCTTTAAAGCCCAACTAAAGCTTTTGCACTCTGCAATTAAATGCTGCCTGGGATTCCTCAGCCAGAGTCTGAGAGAAAAGTGGAGGGGAGGGGTTTGAAGAGAAACTCTGGGGGAGGTGGGGTTTCAAACATATACAGACAGGGGAGTAGACAGCACTCTGAGTCAAAGACAGAACACTACGAGGACCGTTTTTTCTTTTTTTAACTAATCTTATCTTCTGCTCTAATCAATTTCCGCAAAATATGTCACTTTGATTTTCTGAAATGAAGTGAATTCACTTCAGTTCCATTGTTTAAGCATTAAAGTAGCTCTGACAGAATCTACACTCTTAGATAAGCCCTATATATACATAAAATGTCTCAGAATCTTTTTGACTACAGACAACCCACAACCTCAAAGAAACGGAAGGTAACATGCGCACGCTCACAAAAATGAGCAACTAATGTTTCCCTCTTCCCAAATCTGCTTGAGGTGCAAGGTTTTGTCCACAGCGACTTGGAAAGCCATTTGTTTTGAAAGAAAATATTCAGAGCCTTGAAAACAATGAGTTGTAAAAAAAAAAAACTGTAGAAGATAACAACAGAGGAAGAAGAAGGAGATCCATCAATCTCAACAGGAGGGTGAGTAGTTCAGCCACAGCTGCAGGGAAGAACTGTTGTTAAAAACAAAACACAGCTGGGAAAACTTTCTCTTAATTCTATATATAAAGAAATTACAGGATTTTAATGGGGCTTAGCTATACACATCTGATGAACATTTACATTTACTCTAATAAAGATGTAAATTCATTCAACCTTTATTTAAACAGGTTAGTCCCAAATTATTCTTGTTCCAAAATAGGTGCAGAGGGCTGTGTAGATAAATATGCTTGTACACAACATATACATCACAAACCCTCAGTAGTCAGGTAATAAAAATCTGTCTGTTTTTTTTATTGCTAAGGCATCTTCTGTCATTTTTCCAGTATTTTAAACACATTAAACCCAACTTAAGCAGTCCCATGGGGCTAAAGGCTAACAATTATAAATAAAAGATGGGCGGCTGTGGCTGAGTGGTTAGAGCAGTCGTCCTCCAATGCAGGAATTGGGGGTTCGAATCCACCAGCAGTCACATGCCGAAGTGTCCCTGGGCAAGACACTGAACCCTTCGTTGCCTCTGATGTGTCGCATTGGTGTATGAATGTGATCTAAAGCTTTGATTAGTCTCTTTAGAATGATTTGTTCATTTAGCTTTGTAGAGATCTAGTAGAGTGCTGTGTGAATGGGTAAATGAGGCACAGATTGTAGTGTAAAGCGCCTTGAGTATCTCTGTAAGATAGAAAGGTGCTATAAGTACAGTCCATTTACCATTTAGATGCATTCAGACCACTGTGGTTAACCACTTTTAGTGGATTAATATATATTTATAGCCTCTATATTGCTTCAGGTGGTCATGTGACCTGGTAAATGTTAAATATGGATTATTGCTGTAATTTGTTATGCTTGCATATTTATCTGTTTTAGTTCCTGTAGACTTATTTTAACAACACATTATTTTTATTTTTTGAAAACTTTCTACGATTTACTCTCTGTTCTCTTTGGTCTGGAAATTATATAGGAAAAGTTATAACATTTTTACCTGAGAAGACGTTTAAAAACAGGTTTACCAGGGCGCATAATTTGCTTTTTATTGCAAATTATTAGAACCTGTGGGAGTGTCTGGCTCAGGTTGATGATGTCATCACGCTGCGCTGATTAAAAACACAGATCCAAACAGCTCAGTTAAACAAACATTAAAACAGCTAACCAATAAAGATGCAAAGAAAAATAAACTGTTAATAGTCTGAATGATTTATCAAGACCTCACCATTTGCTTGCTGGTTTGTTTTTGTTTGTTTGTTTGTAGCTGCAAGACAAGAGTGTAAGCATGAAATTGACCACATCTTCATGTGTTCAGGATTCAGTTAGCATCTCAAACATGTGATTGGTATCTCACACTAAACGATGGTTTAGTGTCTATTTCCTCACAAAAAAATCCTCACATTCACATTTTATTTACTTTACCAAAATGTTTCATGCAGTCAGACAACGGAAACGAGAAGTCATTACACCCAAATGTGGATGGCTATCTGTAAACTAACACCATTTATATTTCGCAATACAGCAGGTAAAATTGGGGATGATAACAGTCAGCCAATAGTAAATTAAAATACAGTATTGTGGCTTGACAGCTGTTATGATGTTTTTCTTTTGGCCTTCCAAAGCAAGTATATATATATATATATATATATATATATATATATATATATATATATATATATATATATATATATATAAGGTGTGTTTACTGCTAAAGTAAAGACATGCTTTGTTTGATGACAAATATTGACCCAGAAAACTGCACAATACAAAACCTATTGATCAAGTTTGATTAAGTATTTTTCCACAAATACTTCTGCAGAGTCAGGGTAAAGTTGTGTTTACACCGTTTAGACACTACTTGAGCACCAAGTTCAACCAGTACCTGACAGCTGATGAGTTATATCAAAACTCACATTGCAACATACACAAACTTTAGAAAAGTTGCTTCTTTATATTTTTCTCTCATAAATGAAAGCACAGCACAACTTCTATTCCATGCATTTTATTCAGGCACACAGAGACAAGCAGATTGATAGGAGCAGATGAAACAACACTTCTCTAGCATCTTATTCTCAGTATTTCTCAGGGGAGATCTTTATCTTTTATGCACAACTTTAAAACACACAAAAAAAGGTTGCAGCTCAAGCTGTCTGCACATATTCACACAAAGAAGATGGCTGACATGTATGTGTTTTAGAAGGTTCACAGCCTTTGCATCACTCAGACCACACTGTTTTGTTGTCCTGTTCACCCCTCGCCTCACTGCACGGCCGGAGGGCAGCAACAGTAAAGAATAGCAGCTTCACTGAACCACTCTGTCGCTGTGAAGTCTCCTGTCCTGACCGTGGTCAAGATGACCTAATTAGAGTGAGTGGACACCTAAATGGGTCTACATACAATAAGAGCTCGATATGGTGTCAGGAATCTGTCAGATGGTTTGGCCTGATAAACCTCCTGCATATGCAGTGAATAAGTGTATTTCATGTCTTTCAGTGATCCTCCAGTCATTCCCAAGGGAGTTATCTCTGTTTGTGAGTACTGTATTTTTCAGACTATAAGGTGCAATATCAATGAACGGGTTTGTTTTCATACATAAGGCGCACTGGATTATAAAGTGCATTAAGTGAAACAAAACAGTCCAGTCAAACTTTGTTCAGATCATTCACAATAACCACATAAAATCGGTTCGAGGTCAATAAGCACAACCAGAATTAATACATAAGGCGCACCGGATTATAAGGCTCACGGTCAATTTTTGAGTAAATTTAAGGATTTTAAGTGTGCCTTATAGTCCGAAAAATATCGTAAACCTTTTTGTTTGGCATGTTTCCAGTTCATCGCTATGCTGCCTGTCAGTTAAAGGTAAAATGAAAGAAGATAAATGCCCTCTATCATTATTTATTTATGTGGTAAATGCATGGGAAATAGTGTCAGACTATATGATTCAGGGAATTAGGTCATTTCCCATTTTGATTCATGATCAGCATAGATCACATGAAAGATTTTCTATATTTGTGCTGATACACATTTATGTGCCAGAATAAAAACACCCAACATGTGGTCGGTTTAAGTGTCAGCACGATCTACATGTGTTTGTATTTAAATTAAATGCACATACAGATCACTGAGAAAAATATCTTCTATCTCATAAGACTCACATCTGCTCATGAGATTTATTTGAGCTTGGGTTTTAAGTGTTTTTCCTACTGCTGTTATTACAAGGTCAACCATTAACTCCAAACCTCAAACTCATCACATATTTTGATAAAAGCGTTTCAGTTTTGTTTTTCACTTAACAAAAAAAAATGCTTTTAAAGGAATACATCCATGCACTAACTGTTTTGCAGATAAAATACCATCCATCCATCCATTATCTTTTACCAGCTTCTTCCATTTTGTGTCACGGGGGTCGCTGGTGCCCATGTCCGGCAATCACTGTGCGAGGGGCGGGATACACCCTGGACGGGTCACAAGTCCATCACAGGGCCACATAGAGGCAAACGAGACAAACAACCATTCACTCTCTCACTCACACCTAGGAATAATTTAGAGTTACCAATCAGCCTAACATGCATGTTTTTGGACTGTGGGAGGAAACCACAATGCGTGCAAATTGTTACAATAAATCTTACCAAACCAAATGAAAGCAGATACATTTTTAGCACAAGTTCAATGTCAAGCTCTAATTTCTAACATTCAATA